TCGTACACCCATAAGGAAACTCTCGAAGAAAATGAAGGTGAACGCAGGTGATTATCATAGGTGTAACCCCTGAGAACAGGTTCAAAGGATTCCCGACCAGTTTTTGACTTATGAATCGCGTCGACTATTTTGGAAATGTAATTAGGTTGGAATTTGAAAATTTCCGTAAATGACCTGGCAACAATACTAAGGATGTTGACGTCCCGCCGATTTTCTTCAAAGCGTTGTAAAGATTTATCCACGATATGCTTCACAATCTCATCTCTACTAAGTTTGAGAGAAGCGCGCAAAATAGCATGCGAATACGAAGAAAAGGTTGAAACATCTGTCAAAAAATCTTTGATCATCATTTTAAAGGGCCGAATCATTTCACCGTCTTGGTACTTCATAACGAGGTTTTCTCGCTCCATAATACTTTCAAAATATTCAATTCGATCCGTAAATCCAATCAAATCGTCGTGGGAACCCCAACTATAAATCATTCGTATTTTGCCTTCCGGTTCGACGGTAAGGATCATTATAAGAGTGGTCGTACATATGATCAAATCATCGTTGATTAAGAGGTAAGATGAAATGTGCATGTGTGTAAGCAAATCGTAACCATCAATCTCGAGGATTAGAGGAGATCCTAGAGGGTTCCACGAATAGGTTGTCTCATCTAGCTTGAACGCGGACACTATTGGAGGTGCGTGTTCAATTTCATCGGATGTAAACACGGTCCATGTAACCCGTTTTCCGGGGTATACCTCGTTAAGGTAACTCGGTACATATTTTATCTGGGAAATGATGTACTCGATTTCTCTTAACATGAAGTGGGTGTTGAAACTCAAGTTACCATTGACCTTTGCAAAAATATCTTCAACTTGCAAGAATCCATCGACGACACAAATCAACCTATCCTCTTTAATCAATCTTGGATTCACCCTGTGCGAGTCCACAATTGAGTCGAGTGAAAACTCCATGGATTTGTCCAACGCGTGAGGAGTCATTATGGAAAATCCGGTGATGGGTACGTAATTATAGGGATTTTCGTCCTTTCTTTTCGTGTCATAACTTGGAATAATGAGCCAATCCTGATGGTTTACGCCGAAATAAACATCCATCATCTCACCTCCAGAAGGACCCGTGGATAACACTATGCCCGTTTTTATGGAATATACCGCCAGCTCACCCTTCAGTTCATCCTTCTTCCTGTTGAACGCTATCAGTGTACCTTCCTCGTTTATACTAGCTTTAATCAAATGCCTATAATTTTGGTCATCAAATTGTTGTTCCAGCACCGCTGTCTTTATATCCCACAATGATAAATAATGACTGTTGTCGACCTGTATCAATTTTCCTGTTGGCGTGATAATTCTCATTAGTGTGGGCTGACTGTTCACGATGACACGCTCCAACAGAAAATATATTTGAGCGTATTCCGTCACGATGGTGTACAAGTTGAGTTCATATTCATTGTAGGTTACAAAATGTCCATCTTTCAAAAAATGCCATCCTCTTTTGTGTTCTTTGTTTGGAACGTCGACATGTTGTTTGTTCGTGACATCAAACATTTCGTAAGCTAAAAAATTACAGCATTTGGTGTGATTAGATGTCATGGGATAAAGCGTGAGTAAGAGTTTTGAATCGAAACCCATATTAACCAGTGTCAGGACGCGAATCCACAATCAAAAACTTTTCATCCGAAATTTCGTGCAACGAAAGGAACTCAAAATAAAAAGAGAGGGCGTCGAAGGGAGGAAAATTTGCCCACTCGTCCAATTCTCTAAATTCGATAATGTTCGACGGATTTAGTCTTTTTTCTTCATCGACAGGCCAAATTACAATCTTCATGTCTTCTCTACTGAGAGTTGCGATGTATTCCATATTAGGAGAACAAATGATTTGTGTTATTTCATAATGATGCGGAGCATTGCGAGGGTCTCTCGATCTGGGATTTGCCGGACCAGCGGGAACGTCTATAATGACGGTCCCCATTTCATGACAAACGATAAGGTTTTTATTTGTTAATTGATTGAACTTGCTTTTTATAACGAAGGAAACGTAATTAAAACACGCAGTTAATGTGAATTCGGTTTTTTTAAAAAAAGAAGTCACACGAGAAGTTCATATTCTCGACAAGCCCTATCTACGCCAAAGACACAAAATGTTTTCCAAATATTTGTCAACATGAAAGCCATGACTTGAAAGAAACTGAAAGTCTCAATCCTGCTATTCATACAGCGTGAGCCTTAAAATTTTTGGAAAAAAAATGTTTATTCATCTATTACTACTTTATAATTATAAATATTATAGTATACTTAAGAAGCTTCTATATATATAGTACTTTAATCAACGTTTGATTTTCAGCAAATTTATAAAATTTATATTTATAACATGTACAGTACACGTACTGTATATGATTACATTATTTAATTTTAATAATACTTTTTTCTTTATCTTTCACCGGCACCTCGTATTTTGTTTTGTTGGTGGAAATCGTGAGGTATCACAATCACACGTATTGTACATACTGTACATAAGTCAAATTAAGGTCACACGAAATATTACCCTTCTTTGGTAATGTAATATACAATACATAAAGACGATGTTCAAGCAAGACTCAAAAAAAATTGCTCAAGGCAAGTTATTCTTTCCTCAAACGCAAATTTCACAATAACAAAATTTATTGATCTTTCTATTCACCTTCTCCCTTGATGTGTTTTATAAAGATGCTGTCAATTTGTATGACACAATATTTGGTCACCCAAAGTCTATGGTTGACAAAGAGATAAAATTGTTCGTCCAAGAATTTGAGGTATCTCACAATCAAACATTTACCTAATAAGTTGAGACTTTAATTTGCTTCCATTTATTTAAAAGACTAGTCGAAACGATCGCGAATCGGAAGATCTCAAAAGATGCATCGCTTACGCACAAGATGCACCGGATAAATACGAAAGTGGCATTTCATCTTTAAACAAAAAGTTGAATGACGTGTCAGAAAAATGTGAGTGAATCAGATTCTGTATCAAGTCTTTGGGATTTTTAAGAACGGTTTGTCGCATAGGGCACAAATGTAAATCGACATTGCCTTCACAGTTTCCTACGTCTTTTTATTAAAGTTGTTCTCTAATTTTCCAAAAGTAAAAGAGTCCAAACCAGTCTTCGAAAACCTATTGGCTGAATTGACCGAGCTAAAAAAGGTGCATTTGTTTTTTTTACTTTTGGGTGTGAATCACCAAAGTTCTTAAGAATAAGTATTCTTTCTATCATCTAGCAAAGGAGAGACTTGGAAGATCCGTATTTTATGGAACGCCGAGAATTCTTAAAAGAACAAGAACGCGCAAAGGACATGTTGGACGAAGAGTTCAAGATCAAAGAGCAGGAGCTAGTGAATAAATATCGTTTGATGATGGAAAAAGAGTTAAGGGGTACTTACGACCCTATAGGTGGTCAAATGTGATGTACATCTTTGCAATTTTCAAGTCTCTTCATGTATTATCATATTGAATAACGAAAACATGACGGGGAAGGGCTAACATAAGTTTCACGAATAAATTTTATTATAAATGCAGTAAAACGTGAGGTAGTAAAATACAAAAATCAAACGTGTTGGGTGGTAAGATAATGAATGTCACATTTAATTAATTTAATAGTATAGAATTCGGTGATAATATACATGCGTAAAATTTATGCGATTTTGTGACAATTGGCACACACTAGCTTAGACTTCCCCTTGTTGATGAAAGCTTTAAATTCGGTTGATCCACACTCACATTGAAATTCTTCGGCATCATCCTCATTCCCATTTGTTGACACGTCTGCACTCAAAACGCTCGACGTGAACGAGAACATACTTGAAGCATCACTCTTCCTTCTCGGCCTTCCTCCGTTATGAGGCTGCTTATTCTTCACAAAAAGATTATTTATATTGCTTCCAAGTATCGAATTAAATGACCTAATTAATTAATTACACGAATGTCAAGGAATTAAAAAAAATTTTTTTATAAAATGGGCAAATGAACGGCTGGCAGCTCTTCCAATACCTTGTGCTTCGAATTGAACGCGAGTCTGTATCATGAGAGCTATAATAAGCACAGTCTTGACGAAATATCTTTATCCTTCCGGTACAATCAGCACTGACGATTATGTTACCATCGGGATAAGTTCGATTCTCAGGTGAAACAGACGCGTCATGATTCGCAAAGATTGGATCGCCACAAACCCCGATCAATTGTTTGGTGCGAGTGGGCGCAAAAATAGCAACGGTTACGGTGGCTCCATGAGCTGTGAAATTAAATACGATTGTTGAGATTGTAAATTACGTGGTTCTCTACTCTTGAATATCATGCATTCACTTATTATCACCTTCAAAACTCTCGAAACTACACTTTTCCTTTTTGAGCCAGCTGTTTCCGCCAGCGCCATTATTAGAATTCGTGCTAGACTGATCCGTCTTAAATATATATATATGCCTGTCTTCGGAACCACTTATGATATAACGGCCATCATCGCTAATTTTGAAAATAATAAAAATGAGAATGAGCACATGATCATCTTGTAAATCGAGACTTGGGAAAACTTGTCGGCTCACCTAAATGTGGCTCGAATCTGACTACAGGTGTTTTCGATTCCTTTGTATTTCCACTCCAAGGATTTGTCGCGCATGTTGTACAATCGAATCCTTGAATCATTAGAACTAATCAACAGCTATTTCAAATTTAAAGGAATAGTTTGTAAAAATAAATCGAAATAAAAATCCGTACAAAAATCTGCATCATGAATTCATACTTTGTCGAGACCAGGATGAGTTCCTGGCATTGCCTCGATTCCGGTAATTTTTTTGCCCGATGAGTTTCGCCCACGAGTATTTCGCACGGAGAATCCGGTAAATTCTTTTAACCCTACTGTCTCATAAAATTGACATAATCCGGAAAAACATCCTGCTACAGCCATTTTACCATCAAGGGTAAAGCCAACCGCGGTTATTAAATTTTGGTCAGGAACTTCATTCCAATGGGCAACTCGTTTGTCTGGTATATTCCATAAGCGTAGTTTACAGTCTAACGATCCGGACAGGAAAAAACGGTCATCCTAACCCAATGTTAACATTGAAATTATCATGTGGTTGTTGGCTAAGATCGATGTGTCTAAGATAGCTTCGCTTCGCAAGTAAATTCTTGCCTACCTTTGGATGAAAGGCGATCGCTGTCACAAAATCGGCATGCTGAAAACAGCACAGACATTCTTTTCTCGTTATATGCCACAATCTTGTTAAATTATTATTGAAGTCAATTTGAGATGCATAAATTAGGTTAATAAAAGATTGTTATGGTCCATACCTCACGGTTTTGTCCATAGAGGAAGAGAGCAAAAAATTGTTCTGCAAAATGGTGAATTAATTATGGTAGCCAATCAACAACTTTCAAATGACTATCTATAATCAACAATCACCTTGCTCCAACTCAGGTCTAAAACATCGGCTGTATGACCACAATATTCATATAAGGGTTTGTCGCGGAATACGGGCGCTCTTAACTTTGCTCCGCTGGTTCCTTCATACACACTAGTTCCACTTCCTTCAAGAAAATGTTCCCGCTCTTCGTCGCTCGAGATCACTGCCCAAACTCGAACGATCGTATCCTGACCTCCAGTCGCCAAAAATTTTCCATCCTTACTAAATTTCATGATCCAAATAGCGTTGTTGCCCAAGTTAGCTTCACCATTTTCATTCGAGATCGGATTGTTCAACTCTTGGGCAAGAAACAATTTATCAAAATCCCTATCTTTTTTGTGTCTTGTGCGCGTCTGAAAAAGGTGCAATTGTTTAATAATGCGTTTCCTGAAAGAAAAATGACATAAATAGAGTGATGATCACCTTTATATAGTGTGGTTGTGCATTTCCATATCCTCCAAAGTTTTCCGAAAACACCGGTGCGTTATTTCCTGTAACATCAAACTCGTCCATATCTTTTTTCTCATGACGCGACGAACGTTTCTTCAAACGTTTCAGAAGCGATTTGGGGTTTCTACCAATTTGGAAATGATTAGGAATTTCTTTTTTTTTGGAGGAGAGTAGGAATTCAAAAAAAACACGAAACTGCATCAGAAAGCTCATCACTTCAAGCGTACCTATTTGATCTTTCGTCCTCATCACTATGACTTTTCATATCATCATTAAAATCATTGTTTCTCCTCATTATTGTAAAGGATAATGGATCGATGTTTCCATTCGACCTTCTTATTTCTTCTTCTAGATCAGACGCGGGAATTTTTTTGCCTGTGTCTAGATCCTTGACGTATACTGTGATATCGATCGGTTCATCTTCAACCTCCGCTCTAATGCCATCATGATCGACTGAACATTGATGAAAATTACAATTACTATAACAAAAAATGTCAAAAAAGAGCGAGAAAGAAAAAGACCTTGTTTTATTTTTATTATCATTATTATTTTTTTGTTTTTGTTTTTTTGTTAAAAATTTACCTTTGAACTCATACCTTCAGAGTTGCCAGTGTTTTTCTCTAGTTTTGTTCCATTCGTGCCGTTAACCGAAGAATCGAGATCAACGTCGACAATTCCTCTGGGTTTCACATCCTCGTTATCTTTATTTTCGGACATGTCAGTCACCGAAATTTCCGGGATAACGGTATTCGAGGTGTTACTCGAGGGCGCGAGATCCTGTCGAACATCATCAGAGAGGTGTGTAGAAAGGAATCCGGTAGAATCGCCCGCCGAAGGTGACTGGGTAGCGGTTGAATTTCGAAGCGATTTCTTTAGTTCTACCTCTTCACCGAGATTTTCTTCGGCGTCGACAAAGGTTTCGGAAGCGCTCTCAGCGTCGGATTGATCGGAACTCATTTCTAGAAAGGTTGGTGGTTAAGACGAGATGTTCTTAAATAAATAAACATCATTCATGTAATATCCGGATAAGACTCAGGTTAAAAAAGAATTGTTTGTTGACCAAACAAAGCATAGCAAAAATTGAAAATTGGAATATTACGTATTCAAAACGCTATTGCAGTTACAAAAAAAAAAACCCCCCTATTTCAAACGAGAAATATCAAACGATGTTTACTTACTATTTATTTTGAGATTACGCTGCAATGATGAAATTGAAAATCAAAAGACATCTTTTTAAGCTGGTCATATTGATCAACACATTTAACATCTAAAATCACTATTTGTCAATGACAATGACTCAGAGACGAAACGTCGCTTGTACGACCGGTCTTACTGATTATTGGAACATCCGGTGGTTCAGATGTTTCCAATTACGAGTAGGTCCGAAGATCGCACCAAAAATATATAGAATGGCTTGTTACCCATTTTATTGATCAACACCCTTTTTGCAAAAGGTTTTTCTTTTAACGTCATTTTCATTTCACAATGGAATTCTTCCACAATCTTTCCAGCGATTTTGACCTACTTTTGGACGAAAGTGACGACTACGATTTGATAATTTATGCTGGAAAGGAACCGAATGTAAAAAAATTTTATGCGCACACGGTAATTTTACGTGCGAGGTCGCCTTACTTTCGTCGAGCATTATCACGGGACTGGGCAAAAAAGGAGAATGGATCGATTGTCTTTCAGAAACCAAACATTACGAAAGAAGTGTTCAGCATAATTCTCAAGTAAGTGAAATTTCAAATGATTCTTTGGGATATCGGACAATCTGGCACCTGGGATGTTCATGCGCTAAAATTGATACGTTAGATATATTTACACCGGTACCACTGATCTACACTCCCTCAATGGTGAGACGGTGCTTCATCTCTTGACGGCATCAGACGAGTTAAATCTTCAGGAACTGATTGTTTACTCACAAGACCATCTCATTCAGGAAAAACCCGAGTGGTTACAAGAAAATTTAATTCGAGTTCTGCAAATGATTGTAAATCTTGAGGACTGCCAAGAACTTCAAGATTTTTGCCTGAGGGTGATATGTCAAGACCCTTACTGGCTTTTTTATTCGGAACAATTTTTCTTATTAGAAGAATCAATCCTTGTTTCCCTCTTAAAGAGAGATGATCTCTTGATGGAAGAAATAGAAATTTGGGACCGTCTGATCGCGTGGGGAATTGCACAGAATCAGCAAGTAGATCGCGACATCATGAAATGGACATCGATGGATTATGATTTTTTGAAATGTACGCTTGAACAATGTATCCCGTTGATTAGGTACTTTCATATAGACTCTAGTGATTATTATGACAAGGTTAGACCTTTTGACCAAATCTTCCCAGACGATTTGCGTGAAAACATCTTACAATATTACCTCAAGAAAGGTAACATTGGTCAGGTTAACTCGGTGATTTTACCACCGCGAATGCAAGGAATCGAATCAACCATTCTCAAGTCTAGACACGCAGCCATCATATCAAAGTGGATCGATCGAAAGGAAGGAAATTCGAGCAAAGTGGAAAGATCAAAATACACTTTCAATCTACTGCTACGTGGTAGCAGGGATGGTTTCTCCGCTCATGAATTCCATCGCTTGTGTGACAACCAGGGACCAACGGTTGTGGTCATGAAAGTGAAGGAATCGGGAGAAATCATTGGAGGATATAACCCACTCAATTGGCGAAAATATAAACCCCTTTCATCAGAAAGTTGGATGGCGGCAGCAGCAAATCGCCAGATGACATCCACCCTTGTAGGTTTTGCTAGGTCGTCCTACGATATTGGGCCGTATCAAAGTAGTCTTGACACCTTTCTGTTCTCATTCGCGGACGGAAAAGGTACAAAAGATGGCAAGATTAGTCGTGTTGTTCAAGAAAAATCGTCATTTGCCATCTTTTCATCGTCACAACACGGACCGTGTTTTGGACAAACTGATCTGAGGATGAATGATAATTTCAATAACCATTCCAAATGTACATGTCAATGTTCTACCTATGAGACCCAAATTTGCGAGCTCCAACACTTTTCAGTCGAGGAGTACGAAGTTTTTCAAGTTGTTAGTAGGGACGCACCAGAATCACCAAATCAAGAAAGTTTGACGACGCCTTTAATTCCGACGGAGCATCCTCAACAGTCGCCTGAAATTACCAACTATCAAAATGCATGGTAAGAAGAGTTTGTTTTGGGAAAATTGACGAGAATCTCATATTAAAAAATCCCGAACCATTCTTATGCAACAGGGGAGATTTTATAAACTTCTAAGAAATTAAATTTGGG